ATTTAAGGAATATGGGGAAAACTCCCATAAAGATGTTTGGGTGCCTCACGAACTCTCCGATGATCATCATTCCAATGTGTGAACGTTGCTTCGTCTCTTCTGGTGCATAATGCGCGTGAACCATTTTTGGACAGAATTATGACCGGTGATGAAAAATGGATTTTATATGCGAATATTAAACGCCAAAAACAATGGCCCAGTCCTAGACAAAAACCACTTCCGACCCCAAATCCTGGACTCCATCCGCAGAAAGTGATGCTTTGCATTTGGTGGTACATCAAAGGAATAATTCATTTCGAACTCCTCAATCCACAGCGAACTGTCAATTTATAGTCAGCAACTGGAACGTTTAAATCAAGCCCTTCATCAGAAACGCCCTTCACTCGTCAATTGGAAAGGTGTTCTTCTCCACAACAATGCACGTCCACATGTGGCACGTTTGACGCAATACAAGATTATGGAGTTGGGCTGGAAAGTTCTTCCCCACCAACCATATCCTCCAGATACGACACCATTAGATTACCATCTTTTTCGTTCGCTGCAACAGCATCTTAATGGAAAAACGTATGCAAATGTGGAAGATGTCAAAGAAGACATCGACATGTTTTTTGCTTCAAAGCCAAATGATTTCTTTAATCAGGGCATTAACAAGCTGATTGTAAGATGGAAAAGCATCATCGATAAGAATGGAGACTATTTCATTTAATAAATGTTTAGTTTTGATATATAAGTTGTTCGGGTTTTTTCATCTAAAAAAAAGCGATATTAATTTCTTGACGACCTAGTATCTAGTTTTGAACTGAGTTATAGCCTAATTCTTGCGTCAGTCACACATTGTCCAAGGTCATTCCTCTTTGGTAGTTCTAGATAGTTTCAAGGTCTGGTAATGCTAAAATATTTCCCTAAGCTTGTTTTAATAGGTTTTCTGGCTTCATTAGTCATGTGAAGATAGAGAAGTACTAAATACTCCGTCTTCTCTTTTTCTTATTGAAGTAACCAATGACGTGATTGACAATGCACTCAGATACAATTAACTTTGTTATAATTTACATATAAGTCTTACCATTGAGTCAATTTATATTTTGTAGTTATGTTTTTCAGTCTCTTTTTCCCTGAGTCAACTTTAGATACACCCTAGAAACATTTCTCGTCGTTCTTCTAGTTATTGTGACATAGATAATAAAACTATTCTATACGACATTCGATTTGCATGGAGAAGGGGTGCACACTGAGTGTGAAAAGTTCGAAAAATAAATGTTTTGTAAATGTGACAAGTCCTAAAAAATTATTTTCTTGAACGATAACTGAAAAATTTGAAAGTTCTGAAATATTTTTAATTAAACATGAAAACTACAGAAAGAAGTTCTTGCTGAGGGTGGCAAGTTTAAAAAGAACTGTTATTGAGTGTGACAAGTCCAAAAAAGAACTGTTTGTTGCATTTGAAGTGTATAGAAAAATCGTTTAGAGAGTGTGACAACGCGTGAAAATGACTTTGGTGACAAGTCTGGAGAAAACTGTTTAATGATTTTGTGAAATCTAGAAAAGAGCTGTTTGTTGATTATGGCAAGTCCGGAAATGAACTGTTTGTTGAGTGTGACAAGTTTAGAAATTAATTATTTAAGTATTGCGGTAAGTCCAGAAAAGAACTATTCAATGAGTTTCATAAGTTAGGTAAACAAGTGTTCAGTGAGCTTGAGAAGTCTGAATATGAGTTGTTTAGTTGGAGTGACAAGTTGGATAAAGAACTGTTTAATGAGGGTAACTATGAATTCTTTAGTGACTGTAGCAAGTCCTGAAGATGAAACTGTAATCAAGTTGCTTCTAAATTAATTATCTGTAATTAATTCATAACGTTTGTTTAATACAAATTAGTTTGTTTACTTATTTCCCTACGTTAACATATTGCCACTTTTACCTAATCTGTTTAGAACAACAACACAGCTCAATTGCTTTAATATCCTCGAGACAAATACTGTATGAAATATAATAATTCACTAGTGTGAAATACATAGAATAATTGAAGGAGAACATTAGTTTAAGAATATCACAACAATAAAGCATATACTAAACTAAATATTTCAAAGTAGTGTATCATACCAGTAATACAATGAACTATAAAATAAGTACGTATTACCCTCTTTTCTTGCTGTAGTGTATTCTAAATAACAAGTGAATTCCTTGTGCACAAATAAGAGTTACTAATTCATTAATTAATCAATTTCTATATTTTGATACACTTTTTGAAATGTATGGTTTAAGCTGTGTAACCAATTATGTTAAACATTTAAGAGAAGTGACTTGCTCGTGCAGCACAATTACTTGAACATTCAGGTCAACGTCATAGACAGGAATGTATCCATCGATACTGGGATACAGTTGTGGCCGAGCTGTGTTAAGGTTTCAACCCAATGAAACACTATCTTTCAGGCCAAGTTTAAGGCTCGAAGAAGGGACTCCTCCAATAATTTGGGTACTTTCACCAATGATCTGTGACTATTTCATGGTAAAGCATACCCTAGGATGGCGTCCGCAGTTCGCGAGGTCATCCTTGTTGACAAGTTTATGGAGGGGTTTTCGACTGAGACCACGAGGTGCCAATTAAAGGTGATAATGAGGTTTGAAATAGCATCTTCAGAAAAGTCGTGGGACATGAAAAAGTCGTCAACAACAACTATAGTAGAAATTCCAAACATGAGTCATCCTGCTCAAGCAACGCCTCTCATCAACCTTTGTTTAGGGCCAGTCAGCAACCAATACATACTAGTGGTGTAGCCTAAACAGGCTAGTTTTCAGTGAATGGACAGGACTACCTTAGTCATGTCTTGATGTTTGTACAACAACCAATATCAATGATGCTTCTGCTCAGACACTGCTCTGAAAGGGAGGACTAGGGCATCTTCTTTGGATGTGGGGAACAAGAGCAGTTCCCCATGAACTGGCCATAAGTTGCTGAGCAGCAACATAAACGAAAGAAACAGTCATGACTGACTGCATGGCAGATTCAGGAAAGCTGGAAGTAATCTGTAAGTTCTGTCATTTCTGTTCCATTAAACTGACAGATCCCATGTTGGAACTATCTACTGAACAAGTGGAGCACAGCAGATGGTTTGCATATGGTGTGGTGGTAGGCCCAGCTGTCTTAGGACTGAGTAGAGCTTGGTATGTACCTGTAAAAATATATGTTTAAGGGATGGAGTTCTTGATTGATACAAAAGTGGCTAGAACCTTGGTAATCACACTGTGTATCAGGAACTCTGAGAGGAACTACCGCTCTGGCCACTTAACACTCACCCTATTCTAGCAAAAAGCAGCACGTTATATGTAAATGGAGAAGCATGTCTCAAATTACGTCTAGTCCATATGAACCACAGAACGAAAGTAGTCATCACAGATCTTTGGTTCTACATTGGTATCCTCAGAGTTCATGTAATGTCATTCTGAGTTTACTTGGGAAAACCACCTGATCCTATCCAAAAGAACCCAGAAAGAGTGGCCTGCACATAGGTAACTTGCAGAGGGAACCACAGTATCTCTGTGTACACTAAGGGTGTGCCATGGTTTACTGTGGAAGAAATCTAATGCATTGGCATTGTGTAATGTAGCTGTGAAGCCAAAGTTTCATTCCAGAAAGCAAACAACATTAAAATAAATGGTCCATCGAGGGACAAAATCCTGGCAATTTTTTTGA